GAGAAGCCTTTTCATTGGATAGAGAGAACTTTGACCCTTTGACTTTGGAGTTTAACTTGCTTTTAAAAAGCAAACCTTGACCATAACTTTTAAAAGATTAGGGCTAAGGTTTTCATGTTTCAAATATTTAATCCTTGTGACAGCACCTTTCATTGGATATCAAGAATGACCTTGATCTTGAAGTTTGACCTACTTTTAATAAAAAAAAATTAGGTAATAATATATTTAATTTGCATTCAAGAAAAGTTTAATCTTCACTAATTTGTAATATAAGACGGGGTCATCTGTTTTTCACAAACACATATTATTCTTATCTTGAGAAGAGCTTTCATATTTAACATGTGCATTACCTTTGACAAGATATTTCCAAGAACGCTATGATTTGTGACCCATTGACCTTGACCTTCACGATTGTCCTTCTTCAGTGATAATTTCTAAATGACATATGATAGGGCGTCAATATTTGAAACAATATGTCATAAATAGATTTTCTTGTTTAGTTTGATGTGCATCACTGAAAACAATGTAAGTGAGCTATTTTTAATAGTAAAAAAAGAGAAAAAAACAGGTGCAACAGCATACGAGGGTTGTCCAAAAAGTTCGTGGACGATGACTTTTCTGTTAAAATAAATGGTTCTATATAAAACTATTGTACATCAAAATATTTCTTATGAAAATCCAAGTCAGAATGATTTAATTTTTATTGATGGAACTTTATATTTTTGTAAAAATCGGGGTTTTTAAAGGTCGCGGATAGTGCGCACGGACCAAGGTTTAAATGCCATTAACTCTGGTATAAATTGCTCGGAATAAAATGATTATTTTCTATATTAAACAAGTCAAAACTTACTGAAAATTATATGTAACACAAATAAAGAGTCTATAATCGCTTTCTGATATTTACAGTACCGCTTACTATATAGACATTGAAAATACTAAACTAAACCCGTAACAAGTATGTGTCAAAACTCGACGGAAAAAGCGACGTCGGCCGTCCGCACGGGGCAGCGTCCATGTTTTAATACGGTTGTAACGACATAAAAGATAAACTATTTATTAAAACAACTCAAAATTATTTTAAAATATTTAGTTTATTGATTTGAGATTAGTATATACAATTTTTTCAACGGTGTGTACAAATTCAAAGACACTAAAAGAATTTAAAAACACATGTAATTTGCTAAAAATGGAGATTTCTATCCATGACGTTGTCATAAATCTAGCGCAGTGTCGGAGTTGGCTGTGCATATTTGTGTATATAAACTGTATATGTTGGTGACGCTCGTAAATTTTTGTGCATATTTTGTGTATATAAACTTAAAGATTATTGATAGTACTTGGAAGTGTGTTATATGTTGGTGAACATGTGTTAAAATTCAAAATCCAAATGTTGACGTTATAATGAAACTAGCTTGACGTCAGACTGGTCCGTGCGCACTATCTGCGACCTTTGAAGACACCGATTTTTAAAAAAATATAAAGTTCCATCAGTAAAAATTAAATCAATCTGACTTGGTTTTTCTTAAGAAATATTTTGATATACAATAGATTTATAAAGAACCATTTATTTTAACAGAAATGTCATTGTCCACGAACTTTTTGGACAACCCTCGTAACTCTTTAAAAAAAAAACGAATTCTTGAACCTTAATCTGTTGTATTTGGTAGACACAGGTACATGTATACTATATATACTATATGATATTCTTCGATCTTACATAGCAACAACAACTCACATGAAAAATACCTTCGCAAAATGTCATTGGACCTCCCACTCATACCTCAATTTAAGGTAAGTATTTCCCTTTTCCCTTGTCTATATTTCTTATTTCTTTAAAAATTATAAAACAATATTCTTTTGACAGATTGTTTTTCAAGCCGTATTTCTTTACGGATTAGACATCCAAGAAAGTTACGCGGTTTTAGATGACATTAAGATCAGCGATGGACCCTGTGCAGGTACTTCAATTGATTTATATTTTAACTGTATTTTTAAAGAGCTTGCATATTTTCATACTATTTATATATGTATATGTACAAGTATATGGAAATAAAAAAAATATTTTAATCATCCCATGGGCCATGGTAAAAGTGCAATTTAAAAAAAAAAAGCTAGAACATATTCGATTATGTTCCCTAATATCACCCATTCTATTCTTTAAGAAACGTCATTCTACTTCACAGCTCGTGTTTGCGTAAAACAAGCATTTCGATTGCTTAACAATTTGTTAAGACTTCAGAGTACCTAAAAGTATTTTCTAAACTATTAAGTTATAGTACAGGTTAAAAAAAACCTTGAATATAGAGAACATGAGTTGCGTACTAAACATATTCTTTGAATTTATTAATTTACATTCAATTGTTTTACGTTATATACATTTTTCTTAAACTACAAAGTGTAAAACAATTGTGTTTGTAAAGATGAATTAAAAGAAATGCTTTGAAATGATGCAAAAAGTGCATATAGGTATTTGGGTGATCATAGAACTCTGAAAAAAGAGTGAAGGTAGTTAATTAACATAGTATTTTTCTGTATTAAAGAACAGATGATACGAACAATTTTTTTCTTTAGAGGTAACCTTAGAAAAGTGGATAATTCTCCTTACATATGGAAAACATAAGTAATACTACAATAAAATTTCAGAAATGTATAAATCATTCTCAGTAAAGGTTTAAAATTACAATATGTAAAATATGTTTTCTGATTTTTGTTACAGATTTTTGCACACCATTTGAATTCCATTGCTTGCAGAGCGATGAATGCATCGATATAAATTTACTCTGTGACGGTATTCCGCACTGTAGAGATGGAACAGACGAAGATGCATGTAAGTTTAACAACGACTGCATGATAGTATGGCATGTCAAACTTTGCAATATTCAATCTTTTCCATTAGTATTTATAATATTTCATTTGTATTGTATAATCTTTACTTGTATTTTATAACTTTGCATTTGTATTGTAAAATTTTCCATTTGCATTGTATGATTAGCCGGGCTTATTGCTCAAAGAGCAATTGCCGGCTTATGTGATCCTGTTCAAGGCAGGAAGTTGACTCCATAGTCGCCATTTTAAAGTTACGTGAAAAAGTATAGTTCTTACTCTCAACCGCCTTTGAGATAATGCAAACGCTAAATAAAGCAACAAAAATAAAACGAAGTTTTATCTATATAAATAAACATTAGTAGTAATGACTTTGAAAACTTCAGTCCTAAGTCAAAGAACATAGTTGATTAGTGTAAGGATTTTTGATAATCAGTGTCGTCGTTGTTCTCTACACATACGAGGTAAAGCAGGAGAGGGAACCAGACTGGCCTGTTTGTTTACATTCAGCTGCGGTACCAAATTAATTCTGATTCTGGCAAAATCGGACCGTGGTTTTAGGATTGAAAAACTCACTGGCAGTGTCATAATTTATATTGATAGTTTTAAAATAATTTTTTCATCAGAATATAAACGTGATTCGTGTAAGAAATTCATTCTACTCTGTAAATGAGCCCGGCTCTCTGTACTTCTGAGTACTTTGATTTTTATTTGTATTCTATAATTTTCCATTTGTATTGTAATAATATTCATTTGTATTGTATAATTTTTATTTGTAGTCTATAATGTTCCATTTGTAGTATATAATCTTCCATTTGTATTCTATAATTTTCCATTTGCATTCTTTATTTTCAATACGCATTGTATTATCTCTAATTTGTATTGTAAAATTTCTCATTTGTATTCGAAAATTTTTCAATTGTATTGCATCCGTGGATTGTTCATTTGTTTCGTTACGAAGGATTTCATTGGTCAAGATTAAGCCTGTATCGTGTTGAAAATGAGGGAGGTGTTCAGGTGGTGCTCTAGAATAGCAAACTTGGTTCCTCAAAATGTAATTGTATTTGCGTGCATGTTAGCGGACATCAATTAACCCGAAAAGGAGCGGTGGCAGATGGCAAATAAATAATCTCTCCTTAGAAATGCTGTCTGAGAAAATAAATACTAGTAATCTGATTTTGGCAGGCAGTACCTCAGCCACCCCAAACCCCTAAGAAATTATGATTTTTTCGGATTTGGGGCAGATCTTCGTCTTTTTTACACCCCCCCCCCCCCGAAGTACATTAGCCTCCGCTCAAATACATATAGAGTACCCCAGTTCACCCGACCCGAAACATATCTTGCCTGTTTGAACAGTTTACAACAAAAAAAAACTAAAACTTGAGTCGACCAATAAAATACATAAAACGTATAAAAACGTACCAATCCCTTGGATACAATACACATAATAAATTTTACAATACAAATAAGAAATTTTATTGAAAGCAAATAGAAAAAATAGAATGCAAATGAAAAATAATAGAATATGAATAAAAATTGTACAATACAAATGGAAAATTTTAGATTACAAATAAAAATTATACTATACAAACGAAAAATTGTACAAAGCAAATGGAAAATTATAGAATACAAATGGAAAAGATCGAATTTTGAAACGTTTGACATGTCATATGATAGAGAAGCGAGGTAGGTCAAGGATTTAAATTCATTCAAATTTTCTGTGTTAAATATAGTTTTTAACATTTTATTTTTTACAATATCTCAAAATAGCTTTTGACCTTTGTGTTCATTTTTTATATTATAACTTCTTACTGATTTAGAGCAACCTCTTTCGATTTTGAAGTCAAATTCTTAGGTAGTGTACATTCAAGTTTGTTCAAATCATGCTACCCGGGGGAAGGGTGGGGCCGCAACGGACGATCAAAGTCTTACATAGGAATATTTTGGAAAACTCTTTAAAATTTTTCTTCCAAAGATTCTTAGGGACAGGAAAGATAAAACTCATGTTGAATCACCCTAAGGTAGTGTAGATTCAAATTTGCTCAAATCATGATCCCCGCAAGGGCATATCCTATCTGATTTAAACTAAACAATGTATAATATTCTATATATTATATATATTAAGGAAAATATTATTTAAATTATTAAAATTGCTGCACAAATCTTATTTACGTTCTCAACTGATAAAAATTTCAAGAAACTTACACTGGACTGTGAATTTTTACCCTGTTTAATCTTAAAACTGCACGAAAACAAAGTAAGGTATGTCCTTGAGCCAAAGTGATTTTGTTGATGTTATTATAAATGTGTGTAGTAGAGGTCGATGACGTTATAATATGACATCATCATGTGCACCGGCTATCGCATGTCTTGGTTACAAAAATAACAAGTCTCAATATTTTCTGTGTGGTATGTAGAGCAATTATGGAATTTAGTTGATATTTTGCATGGAAACCTCCATATGTAGCCTTAACTCACTTGCATATGTTGTATCGATATGGAGGCACTCTCAAGTAGTATCAAAATTCAATCTCCCACCCCCACCCCTCAGTAAACTTTTCAATTCTGATCAGATTTGTGCTTTTTATGATCAGATTTGTGCTTTTTCTTAGCCGATATCTCAGCTGAGCGATGTGTCCCCTGGGCCTCTTGTTTCTTTAACTATAATTTGTTTAATTCTACTTTCGGTTAAAAAAAATCCTGATTTTAATAAGTTAACAGTTTACAAGTTAATTTACCCTTAGTTTTGGGTTAATTCTTGCACAACCATTGCAATCAAATGACAGTTTTTTTCCAGTTAAATCCTCTACCCTGACAGCCTGAGGCATGTTACCTGGCCAGATGGTTGTGTAGATGATTTCAAGCGTGAAGCAATTTCCTGTCGTAAATTCACACCTCTGCTTGAGATTTATAAGCAATGGGATTATCAACATTCACTGAGCAGCTAAAGAATATTGCCTCAACTGGGCATATTTATTTATTTTTGGCGAGGAAATAAGGGAATGGCGCTGGGAAAAAGGGCATGGCGCCGCGCCATGCTATTTTTTTTTTTTTAGATTTGACTAATAATAATATATGTATACTTATTCAAGACTTCAAAATTATTCTCACCATGTTTTGCCTATAAAAGTGTTGTCTCAAGTTACGTAAAACGAAAAAAATTGGCGCATACGTATTTTAGCGCAAAAGTGGGACTGCATTGGCCGCAATTAAATTTTAGCGCTTGCACTTATCATAAGAATATATATATTTATATTTTGTGTTTTATCTATACACGTATTTGACTTTTTTGTTTGCCAAGCACGGAAACATAAAAGCCTCCTATATATAAGTAAACGTTCGTAAACTTTACCGTGGTGTTGCAAATCAAATTTGTTTAATTCTACTTTCGGTTAAAAAAATCCTGATTTTAATAAGTTAATAGTTTACAAGTTAATTAACCCTTAGTTTTGGGTTAATTCTTGCACAATCATTGCAATCAAATGACAGTTTTTCCAGTTCAATCCTCTACCCTGACAGCTTGAGGCATGTTACCTGGCCAGATGGTTGTGTAGATGATTTCAAGCGTGAAGCAATTTCCTGTCGTAAATTCACACCTCTGCTTGAGATTTATAAGCAATGGGATTATCAACATTCACTAAGCAGCTAAAGAATATTGCCTCAACTGGGCATATTTATTTATTTTTGGCGAGGAAATAAGGGAATGGCGCTGGGAAAAAGGGCATGGCGCCGCGCCATGCTATTTTTTTTTTAGATTTGACTAATAATAATATATGTATACTTATTCAAGACTTCAAAATTATTCTCACCATGTTTTGCCTATAAAAGTGTTGTCTCAAGTTACGTAAAACGAAAAAAATTGGCGCATACGTATTTTAGCGCAAAAGTGGGAATGCATTGGCCGCAATTAAATTTTAGCGCTTGCACTTATCATAAGAATATATATATTTATATTTTGTGTATTATCTATACCAGTATTTGACTTTTTTGTTTGCCAAGCACGGAAACACAAAAGCCTCCTATATATAAGTAAACGTTCGTAAACTTTACCGTGGTGTTGCAAATCAAATTGACGTGGAGCAATTATAAATTATTTTGATTTTTATTTTAAATGAAAGAAATGGATTATTAACGAATTTTATACCTATCTAAACAATGCATGCATCAAAGAAAAATACTTGGATGAACGGTCATCATAATCAAGTATTGTCTGCAAGATCTGTCACAATGCTTGATTGCATTGTTTACATCGAGGCGATATATGAGTGACACGCCGTGCTAATGATAAGAATCGGGTAACAACTACCAAAAAAAATCTGCTAGTGTAAATATGGAGGAAAATTTCAAAATGTCGTTGGTAAAGTGTGAAAAAAAGTATTAGAAGGCTACAATAGGGGTATTGGGGATATGATGATCTAGAAAGAAAACTTAAATAGACGTGAGTAGCTCGAAATAACTCTTTCTATTGTTGATAACTACTCACGCTCCCCAGGCAATATCGTTTGCCATTTTCCTAAGGATTAAGAATTAGGTTAAAATTTGTGAAAATGCAAGAATGAGTCAATCAAACCCGCCAAAAAAAATTGATGTTTTAATATCTATTAACTGAAATAAGATTTTTAATTAATTTTCGTGTGAAATTATTTTAAAATATATATGTCGTAATACTATAGAGAAAATATTGACTTCAAATCTGTGTCCAAGTACCTTTAAACTCTTTTGTTCACTATTTCGATGTTTTATGTTTACAGAAACTCATCTGGACCATACTGAACACAATGATGACTTACACTTAGATGGGTTTTGTAATATTTTAAGAAAAGAAACTGTTTCGAGGGTGGTGTTATGATTTACTTGTCTGAAAAAATACGTGCTATTAGGCAACATGAATTCGAACCAGCTGACGTTGAATGTTTATGAATTGAAATTGATAATCATACCTCTAACTATATCTTATGCTGTGTATATCCCCCCCCCCAATTCTGAGGGCAGTTTTTGGACCACACTTTCATGGAGTTTTGATAAAGTTGGTGAAAAATCCAACAAAATGGTACATGTTTGAGTTTGTGACATTAAAGTTGACCTCTTCACAGCTCCACAAACACATATCATACGTGAAATAATCGCAAAACAATTTAGTTTACAATATCCATGAACCTACAAGAACTACGAACACGTCGAGCACGCTGCTGGACCCCATTTTTTCTTCTATTGACATTCAAGTATGCAAATCGAGCACATTAGAAATGGACTAATGGAGCTACTATAATTTCACTTATCTCTAATACATGTATAAACTACAATCGTTCTTACAAATGGAAAGTGTGGGCTTATAAATATGTTGACTTTGGAAGATTAAATACTTTGATTGAAAACTTGAATTGGGATAAAATCAATAATAAAGCGATGATAGTATAGATTTGGAAAGTGAAATTTTCACATCTGAATTTCTTACCTGTGTTTGTGAACGTGTACCGGAACAAACAATAACAATCCGTCCTGCTGACAAACCATGGTTCGATTCTTTATTACGGAAAACAATTACACATGTAGAACTAAAGACCGTCTTCATAAAAAACACTACAAGCTAAAAGAGATTATGATCGGCCTGAATAAAGGTACGAAATTCGGTTAACAATATGAAGAAACATGCTATGGCTTATTATTACGACAATATTGAAACATATTTAGAGGACCCAAGTAAAAATAATACTAAACTTTATTTGAAACTGATTAAGGATTCATTCAAAATTAAACTCTCTAACGAGATACCACCCATTGAAATTCATAATGATAAAACTGAAGCCTTAAATTCTTATTTTCCATCTATTTCTACTATTGATGATTCAAATAAAACACTACCAAACATGAATAATCTATGTATAGTAACACATTTTGTAAAATATCAATTGAGAAACAGGAAGTATCAAATATCAATTCAAGACTTACCGTGAACAAAGATTAAGGACCCGACAGCATAAGACATATAATGTTAAAATCCCCCTCAATCCTTGTTAAACCACCCACTATGTTATACAATAGGTCCCTGTCAGAAAAAAAATATTTCCATTTTTTTTTTTTGAAAATAGCCCATGTTAAACCTCTTTTTAAAAAGGATGACCCTTCTTTGCAATAAGTGTCAAATTATAGACCTGTTTCGCTGTTATAATGTGTTAGTAAAATGATGGAAAGAATTATTTATAAATACGTGTACAATTATTTTCACGGTAATTTGTTTTATCGATATTAAGCCGATTTTTTACCCGGACATTTCTACTGTGTATCTATGACTAGAAACATATCATAGTATTATACAAAATATTGATGAAGGATAATTATATTGTATGTCTTTGTTTTTTTTTTTTGATTTGTCTAAAACATTTGACAGAGTAGGGCACAAAGGTTTTATTTTTAAATTACAATCCTATGATACTGTACTATAAAGTATCGCTTATCCCCTGGTTGTGAGTAGGATAGATTTTTCTTCAAGCCCTTGACAGGAACTATCTTCCTCTGGGAAGCCTCTGTGGAAAAGTCCCTGTAGTGTTCTTGGTAAAAGAGGTATTCCATTCACAATTAGCGGATAAGCGTATTATATTCTATTATTTTCAGGCGTTAACAACAAGATTCACTGTGTGCAGAAGTTTGACGATGTAACAAAGTTACTTTCAATTCCAATTTTTTAACAAAGAGAAAAATTAGGCTTACTACCAACATAAATGATTATGATGATTGGCTGCAAAATACAACTGCTCAATTTCATATGTTTACAAGTGAGGAAAGGAGGGGAGCAAACATATCAGAGGAAATAAATGATTTTCCAAGTCGATCAACAGAAAAAGACAGTGCTTCTGAAAAATCAAATATATGGAATGAGTTTGAAAGCAATATTGGATCTGATCATCAACAATTTAATGGTAGTTTAGGGGAACAGAATAATGAATTAAATATTCCAGAGGATGATTATAACTGTAATCGTACCCAGGCTTGTCAGATACCTGAAAACTGTTCTTTGTCTGTCGGCATGTGTACTTTGGGTTTCAATAACAAACGTTATATTATCGAATGGCGAAGTTTGTCTTGTGACTATATCGAACTTAATGAGGTTATTTTTCATTACATTCAATCGTTAATGATTATAGGATCAAGGATACAAAGTCTTGTTATAAGAGAAACAATTCCAACAAAATTGAATTATCTTTATGTCAATGAAAGTATCATAAACAATTTGCATATTTTCTATAGATTTAAACCTTTTTCTATGTTAAAATCCATATTTTTAGTAAATTGCCACGTAGGCTACTATAAAGAATATAGTCTTAGAGCTGAGGAATATCCAATACCAAAGTTAAGCTTTAACACTTCAAATGTAGAAAATGTATCCATGTCTCTTTTTTTCAAAGGTATGCATCGTGGTATATATTCAAAAGCATTTGCAAAAGAAGCAGTTCTCTTCTTTCTTTTCGAGTACTATAACAGAAGTATAAATTTCCCTGTACGACAATTCCGAATAATAGGATTGAAATCAGAGCTTTTGTTTACTGATTTCGAGAATAATCAGATAAGGAAGTTTCCTGAAATGTATTCTAAATATTTATACTTAAAAAACAACAGCATAGTAAATATTCTAGATGTTAGTGGTACTTATGAATTAATAGATTTATCATACAATCAAATAACAAGTATCCATCAGGGTGATTTCAGACTCCATCGTCGTGTTGCTCTAAGGTATCTTAACTTAAGAAGTAATTACATCAAATACATTGACAAATATGCATTTAAATGGTTTCCAAACCTATATTATCTCGATCTTTCTAATAATTCAATCGATTTAATTCGACAAAATGATCTTAAAGACTTAAAAAATCTTCATTTTCTCTTATTAAATTGCAACAAAATAGACTTCATTCACAACGGAACATTTTTTAACCTGACAAAATTAAATACACTCAATTTATCTCACAACAATATTTTTATCTTACCAGCAAATTTGTTCATAAATCTAGAAATGCTACAGAACTTATATCTTCAAAATAACAAAATTTCAACTTTACAAAAAGATCTTTTTAAAGATTTAAGAAATTTACGGGATTTGAATTTGTCAAATAACAATATTTTTTATTTATATGCAGGCCTTTTTCTTGATTTACGAGAGTTACTTTCCCTGCAGATTCAAAATAATAAGATCATAAGTGCAGAGGGAATGTTTTCTGGGCTTTTTAGCTTGAAAGTTTTGCATGTTGACTTCTTTTCAATCTGTTGTGCGAAACCTCGCAGCATTTATGAAGTACAGTGTATTGCGCCGATGAATGAACTTTCTTCTTGTGAACAACTAATAAGTGTTTTTTCCCTTAACATCTGCATATGGTATGTTGCATTATTTGCAACTTTTGGGAATATTTTTACAATTATATATAATGTTTTTTCTTCCAGAAGCAAGTCCTCTTCATATTTTATATTAACCTGCAATCTCAGTTTTGCTGATTTATTTATGGGAATCTATTTGTATATAATAGCTTTTGTTAATATGGTCTATAGCGGAAAGTATGGGTTTGAAGACTTTCATTGGCGTCATAGCAAACTATGCATTTTTGCAGGGGTTTTGGCTACGGTTTCCAGCGAGGCGTCGGCTTTATTTGTATCATTAATAACTTTTGATAGGATTTTAGCTATAACACGTCCATTTTCAAACCCCCATCTTGTAGCTAGAAGAGCCATTTTATTGTCGGCCTTAGCATGGATAGTTTCTTTGGTTTTAGCATTGTGTCCTTTATTTATTCCACTTGAAGACTTCTATGCCCAAACTGCCATTTGTATATATCTTCCTTTGTCCGTCAAAAGACAGTCAGGTTGGGAATATTCAATGGTTGTTTTCATTGGATTCAACTTCATTCTTTTTCTTGGCATACTTGTTGGGCAGATTTTTATACTTGTTGAGGTTATAAAATCTGGAAGGAAAATACAGTCCACAAACACCAAACGACGAGAAATATCACTAGCGAAGTCAGTTGGTGCTGTTGTTCTGACAGACCTCTTATGCTGGATTCCAATCGGAATAATTGGTATGTTAAATAATTTGTTTTTTCCCTATCTTATCTATTCTTCTGTTTTAAAATTATGTTTTCGGGCTTTTACATGACCTTAAAACTAGTGATATAGATATTCCATAGATATATTTTTTATTGCAAGTTGGGGAAGAGAACATTCAAATAGATAATAGTAACGTGTAAATTCATTATTCAGCTATGATGACATTCTCAGGAGTAGATGTTTCTCAGGAAGTCTACATTTGGATAATAGTTCTTGTTTTACCGATAAATTCTGCTCTGAATCCAATTCTGTACACTTTGTCAGCTCTCATAAGAGAAAGGAACAGACAAAATCAGGTATGGAATTCTTATAACGGTTATAACCGTTTTCGTGTTTCAGGAGAGAAAGAGAGAGAGAGAAGGATCTTCATAGTACATGTAGATTAATTTCTACGAGTTTAGAAATACCTATGCAAAAAATTAAAAATAAAAAGCATAATAATTAACTAAACCTGAACTCATTTTATAAAGATTTTTAAAAAATTATTTTGGATTTCAAAGAAAAAGTTCCTTTTTTCAGACTCCACAAAGAGCAGAGATGTAGTGATACATGTTTAGTGTGGTGAAGGATAATAATCAATGTAAGAAAGTGAGTTTGAAATGCGTAACAGTACCGATATAAAGTAACCACAAGAAACCCGTCATACACCTGATCCTACCTCTGATGTTTTGAGGACTGTGTTTGCTCTGCTCCTGTCTTAGACTTTTGATATTGAATACTGTTTGTTATCTCCATATCTTTCATTATGTAATGTATTTACTAAACCATTTCTTCAAATAAGATTTATTTACTTCATGTTTAAGTCGGATTTAGGAAAAGGAACAGAAGCAAAATTTCAATTGCATTATTAGACAATAACCAGGATTATGCTTATCTTTTAATGATTATGCATGTATCAAATTTATTAATTATTTAAGTCAGCAATTATGTGCATTTAAACAATTAATCATCATCAGATGACTGTGATGGCGCAAGGTATCATAAAAGTGACACGATCAAATTCCATGAGCACAATCGATGATAGATAAAAAGCAAAATGCAAATCCCAGATGTGTATTAACCATAATTTAAAATTAAGAAAAAGGACTATGGCAAGCCTTAGGGAGTCTGATAGGGAAATATCAAAGGGTTTTGTAGTGCACTTCAGCACTTCAGCATGTAAACAATAAATAAATTTAAATGTTAAAGAGTAATCTGAAATGATACATGGCAGGCGTGGATCCAGATTTTTTTAAGGGGCGGGGAGGAGGGATTGGAGTTCCAACTCAGTTAAAAAAAAACAACCCAGAAATTTAAAAAAGAAACAACCTAAACTCGCCTATACTTCAAAATCCTAATTTGTGGGGGGAAGAGGGAGGGGGGGGGGTTGATGACTTCTAATGCCTCAAACCTTTGACTTTCCATACAAATTTAACACAAATTCGTGTTTACCAGGAGGGGTCTGCTTTTTCCGAGGGGGTCCAAAGTAACTTTTTTCTTGCTTTAGTATATAGATTTGATGACCTTGCATATTCCAGGTGGAGGGGTCTTGACCCCCCGGACCCCCTCTTGATCTGCGCATTCATGTGACGTAAGAATGTCTTGTATATTAAGTACGTGTATTTTACCTTATTAAGCGTCCCAATGTATTCGAAGTATATACTGTTAAATCAATTATATTCACGAGGTCATATATTTGTGGTTTGCGAAAAAGTATTTGTTGATGGAATTTTAATTTTTTGGTCACATAAGTCATTTAGGAATCTATTGCTACATCTATCTGTTTTTGTCCGTCATCTTGCGTCGTTCGTTGCAAGTTACATTTGCACATATTAAACTTCTTCTCTGGAACCACTGAACCAATTTCAATCAATTTATATATATATATATATATATATATATATATATATATATATATATATATATATATATATATATATATATATATATATATATATATATATATATATATATATATATATATATATATATATATATATATATATATATATATATATATATATATAAGAAAAAAACGACTACACAGATTGTAAAACGTTAGCGCTTCCATTCAAATTCTTCAGACGTTTTACTTTGAACAGTTGACGTTAAAACGTTACATTAACATAACATTTTAACGTCAAATGTTCAAAGTAAAACGTCTGAAGAATTTGAATGGAAGCGCTAACGTTTTACAATCTGTGTTGTCGTTTTTTCTTATATATATATATATATATATATATATATATATATATATATATATATATATATATATATATATATATATATATATATATATATATATATGATTTCAGCCTGATGATTATTTTTTTAAATCAACATGACTGAGCAAGACAAGATATGTTATTTATAGACCTACATGTACCAGTTTCCAAATTAATGTTAATAGCATGCATTTAGACATTCAACGATGTTGCTCAAGTATTTTTTTTTACAGCTTTGCTATGTTTCTATTTTACTATGTTCGCATACAATATACAGTGTTCGTTTTTTTATAAAGTTCAGTATGTATACAAAATAAATGTTAGAAAGGTACATTCTTATATTGTCTTAAATACGATTCAATGTCATTGCTCATACACTGTATACAGCTATGATCTTGCTTGGGAATATCTTTGGGGTCTAATACAGTTTGACATTCTACGGTTGTATCCACTTACTCAAGATAAGGGTTAACATTGATGTAATCATGTGAATATATTTTTGGATGGACTACTTCCAAATAAGTTCCATCAGCATTGTTGGGAGCGGTGTATTCTTGATCAAGATTTTAGCTTCTCGTCTCTTCTGTCTGTCCAGGCAAACGTTCATAGCCTTCTTCTTGATCGTCAATGGTTTCATAATCAGGATCTTGATACAGACCATCTGGATATGCCAAATTGATTTCGTATGGCCAATCCTCTGCCTTTTTGGATATTTGTGAGAAGCATTATTTCTTTTTTTCTTTTTTCTCATAAAGTTTTTCTGAAAAATGGAAGCAACATTATGCCTCTTTATACTTATGCTTTTATGAATTTATTTATATGAAAAGAATATATTGTAAGTTTGCTTGACTACAAATTAACGTCTATTTTGCTATAACGTAAAATCGTTATCACGTCCGATATCATGGACGTGTGTATCCCCTCCATACTGGTTATTTAAATAATGACAAAGAATGAAAAATAGATGAATTTTTTCCTCCTATAGTAACTATGTTATCTAAAGCTATTTGAAACAAATTAAAAATATAAAATTCAATATTGTTATTTTGAGAGAAGAAATAAATATAGTTAATAAATTGCTACCGTACAAGTGGAAATTTTAGCGAGACGCAAATTTAGCGATTTCTTCTTAAAAACTGGTGTTTATTTTTAGCGAGAAGTAATTTTAGCGATTTTAAAATGCTCACTATAGAAACTAGTACAAATAACACGCAATTTATTTTTAGCGATATTCAATTTTAGCGATCTCAACAGACTCGCTAATAATGCCAAAATTAAATCCTCGCTAAAATTTCTACTTATACGGTATTTCCTGTAGATATCCTTGTAATGAGAGAAAACATTTCAATAATGTAGAATAAATACGATCAACTTATTTTGTTTATTTTCTATGCATATTTTTCACAAGATAATGAAAGTTGTTATATATATATATGACCTTTGATCGAACCTATGCATTTTCAATGGGTGTAAAGTATTTTCCTGTTGTGTCAGATAGTACTATAAGGGCATATGGATAGTATAGCTTGATAGCTTTTGACGCACAGGAACCTGTCACCGTAAGCTAGTGGTTAGGCGCTTGCTTTGTGTGTGTGTGGGGGGGGGGGTCAGGGCTGAAATCTTGCTTCCGGTTCCATGTCAAAACTTTAATAATTAATATGGGTAGAAACAGTTTTTGAAACGTGCATGACGTTGACATTAAAAGTGAAAGTAATCAGACCTTTGGACGATACTGTTAAAAAGTCCCGTTTGAAAGGTAGGCGTTGACATAAAAATGAAGCATCACTTCTATGATCGTATTTGACATTTATATGTCAAAAATTAGTGGCAAGTCACTTAAAGCATGGGATGTCTCTATGAGTAAGAAATTCTCGAATAGAAAGAAACATGCAGTCAATTTATCATAAGCACGGGCACACACCCTCCCAAATTTAATGAATATTTTGTGTACCAAAAATAGCTAAAACAGTTTTTATATCAGTTTTGCGTTTTCTTCTAAACAAATTTTCTACTTAAACATCAGTTTTTGCATGGTTTGCCTATCATGTCGTGACCTTTTGCTAAGATACATTGCATCTGAATTTATATATAACCTCCTATTTATAAGGTAAATTTTCATCCTAAAAAGTGTATTCTAAAGACAACGCGCTGAAAAATTAGAGTAAAACTCTAAGAGTTAATCTTAATCTCATCTTAAATGAAAAACTTTAAATAAAAACAGAAGGGAAACCATCTTATTCCAAGAATACTAGTTGTTACGCTGACAACAAATAGCATCACCAATATAAATCCGATAGCAACTGAAATGTACATTCAGTTTCATTTTCTTTATGAAATTCATTAGAAATCCATGACGTTCAAATCTCTATAACACATGCGAAACCTTGTCACCGCGCGTTAGAATACACAGTAGGATCTATATGCATAATCACTACTTTATGATCACTAAAATGTACTTTGTTTAAGATAAGTTATTAATTAATAGCTTCTTAAGTGAGCTTTTTAAAATCACTAAAATTACATCTTGCTAAAATTACCAATTATTGAAGGCAAATCGCCAAATTTGCGTCTCGCTAAAATTTCCACTTAAACGGTTATTTATATGTTGGCAAAATTAAAATACTTGAGTACATTTCAATCCTTGAATGATTAATCAAGTAAAAGCTGTAATGTATAGAATTTAATAGAATTATTTATTTCTTACGTAACGGAAACGCATATAAAAACGAAGTATACCCTATCAGTATCATTATGTTGGCCCAATGCTAGTCAAAAAAATCATTGGTTGTATAATTAAGTAGTTGAAACAGCTGAAGGTTCAGTTTAAAAAATACAATTGTGCATTGATGCAAAGTTCCATTTTCTATTAGATTTCTCCATATCACAGTTTTTCTTGTAAATATATTTCTCACATTTATAACTAGTGCTAATTGTAACGGGGACCGTTACAGATGTTCCCCAAACGCTCCCCATCTCCCTTTTGGTGCCATATTCCCTGTAAGCTTCGTTAAATAAGACAAACTTTATGCATGTGAGACTTTAACAACGTTTACCCAGAAGGGTACCAAGTTCATTCAAATTTTAGCATTGCACGCGTGCGCATGTGAATGCATGTGCGTAATGAAAATATCATCTTGTCTACACAATCTATATACTTTAATATACTAAATATTAAAGTATTTAAAGTATTTAATCTAAAAGTATTAAAACATACGCTCATTCAAGTGTATTTTTCATTTCACGTGCACGCACGTGCATACATAAGCATGGTGGCATACCTTCTTGTAGAAGTTCATTACATCTATCTATGTTCTAAATCCCACTCCGTTTGGTTGAAAACCAAGGGAGTTATAGCTGATTAAAATTTCAGCCAATCAGATTGCAGCGTACGTTCACGCACGTGTGTGGATGTGCATGGTGACCATACCTTCTTG